ATGGATGTGTAAACTGATTTCTCATGAGTTTTGAAAGTGTAAACATGTCAACAAGTTTGATATGAGTAAATAAATATAAAACAATGGCCCATGGCCTCATACACTTCATTTACAAGATTTTGACTTCTCAAACCTCAAAATTTGATTAAAAGACATTTGAAGCAAAACTTTGTTACCCAAAAGTGTCTAAGTACAAAAGTAGACATGCTTGGCCCTTGGCCTCATTACATACATGCTTAAAATGTCAAAAGTGATTACTTAACATCTTTACACATCAAGAAAATTACATAATCTTCAAAAGTACCATACATACATGGTATACAAAATATAACTTCAAAAGTTAAGCATGCTAAACACTTGTATGTTAATATACAAAAATGCTTCAACAAGCTCAAAGGCTTTTAAGGATGATGAGCATTCATGAACATAATCTCTTTACCTGAAAAACAACCCAAACCACTAGGGTGAGTAATCAAGTTACTCGTAGGAGAAGCATATACGTATACAAGGGAGCATTCTACTTAACGTCTATGTTCTAAGTGTGCTAAGGGATCTTAAGCTAACTTGAATAATTCTTTAGCAATGTAATTCAATATCAATGTACTTAACAACATCAATTCGCCAATAACAAGAATTCAAGCTACAATTAAGCATTGGTTGTCAACTTGAAATTTAATGCGAAAACAAGTAATGGAAGACTTGGAAACCAAGAACAAAATGGTTATTCCGGGCATTGACCCGTTGGGAAGACCACTCTAGTGCGCACTATCTCAATTGGGGAGAACTCATACCTCCCGCACTAAAGCCAAACTTTATTCATATCACATGTAACAATGTCCTAAGAGATTCCAAAATATATATCAAGTTCAAAACTTATATATATATATAATAAGGCATACAAACTACCTTCCACGCACAAGTATTTTGAAACCATACAAACCATGTCTTAAGGTTCCAAATCTAGAATGGCATGCCAAATGACAAATTCACATCATGATATTATGCACAATATAATATCACAAATTTATTAATTCAAGTCATACCTCAATAACAAGTTCTATATACTAATTATCAACATTTAGCAATAGGCTCTTAAATTAATCACAATTTGTAATTCACAAGAACATAGAATTATTATCACAAAAATATAGCAATTCAAGTCAATAAGAATTGCATATAACACTAATAATTCTACTAGAGTTTTATATTACTACCACATGTGAATTTACTAGAATTTAGCATCTACTAAATTATATAATCCTTCTACACATGGTTTACACATATCATACATGCTTAAATCAATAAACCCTAAGTCAAGAAGTGAGGGTTTCCTATAATATGCAATACTATCATATTAAAAACTTGTACACAATATATATTAAACCTCAAGGATTATAAAACACTTAGAATATAAACGTACTACCACCCCTACCTCAATAGAGAATTGAATCTCTATAATTCAAGCTACCAAGCACAAAATGGAAAACAAGGTTAGGATTCTTGAAGAGGAAAGTGAAAGGAATCTTTTCTCTCCTAACGTCAAAAGTCTAGGGTGAGTGGAAGAGTGCCAAAAGTGAAGTCAAAGCTCTTTACTAAGCTTTCTCTAATGGAGTCTTTGTTAGGGTTATGAAGAACAAGTGTAAAAGATGAAGGAAAAGGTGAAAATGGTGAGTGGAGTGTCTAGAGAACCTCCACTCACTATTTGCTCTTTACACTACCTCACAGACACACATATGCAAGACTAAATCTTGAGCTTACACTTGTCACCAATCCAATGCCTCTTCCAAGACTTAATCCTAGACTCACACTTGTCAACAATCAATGGTTACATGTGCACTAATCCTACGCCAATACAAGGATAACTCTCCACCTTCCAATTGTCAAGAAACTATGGTACCAAATCTCTCCACCCAATTGCCAACAAGTGGTACCATGAGAGTGTGACACTTGTTACACTTTCCAAAAATTGCAAAATGGTCATTTTTCAAAATATCTTCCAAAATAAATTACAAAAAGATCCCTAAAACGAAAATAATTATTTTACATAATTACACTAAAACTCCAAAAGTTATAAACATTTACACTAAAGTATACATTCATGCCCTCTACAAGAAAAGTACTAATCTAGCATGCTTTTCTACAAAAGTAAAAATACCAATATCATGGAAATCAAATATCATGAATGCATGCAAAACCGGAATCAAATCCGAACACAACAAGTGAGGTTATGCAAGAAAAAACGATAAACGAGAAAAAGACGAAATAAGGAAAAGACAAAATAGGAAAAAAAACGAAAAAAAAAAATCACCGAAAATGAAAAAGGAGGAAAAAGACCGGGTCATTACAATCTTTGACTTTCCAAATGGATCAATTAGAGGTTTGCAATTCACGCATTTTGTTAATATTTGGTTCTTGCTTTTATTTTTTATTTCAGTGTTTCAGTATTTCCTTATTTATTAATTAATATAAAAAATATTTATTAATTAATATATATTACCTATTTGTCTATTTATTATGAGTTTTTTAATAAAAAAAATCTAATTAGATAAAAATGTTTAATATAAAAAAATAAAAAATAATTTTTTAATATAAAAAATATTTATTAATAAATATAAAAAGAGTTTTTTTAAAGAACTTTTATAAAACTCTAATACAAATTACCTATTTATCTATTTATCATGAATTTTTTAATAAAAGAAAATCTATTGAGATAAGAATTATTAATATAAAAAAAATTATTAATTAACATAAAAAATAAAATAATTTCTCTACAACTCTAAAATAGATAAATACAAGTTATATATGATAGAGTTTTATAGAAAATAAAATAGAGATTTGTCATTCAATTTTATTGAAATTATTTTATTTTCTTTAAATATATTGTTGTCTAATTAAATTTATTTTGATAAAAAAAGTCATAATAAATAGATATTGTGATAGACTTCTTTAGAAAATAAAGTAACTAATTTATTGTAGATTTTATAGAAATTATTTTATTTTTATATCAATTAATAAATACTTTTTATATTAATAATTCTTATTTAATTAGATTTTTTTAATTAAAAAACTCATAATAAATAGATAAATAGGTAATTTATGTTAGAGTTTTATAGAAATTCTTTAAAAAACTCTATTTATATCAATTAATAATTACTTTTAATAATTCTTGTCTAATTATATTTCTTTTATTAAAAACTTATAATAAATAGATAAATAGTTAATTTATATTAATTAATAATTTTTTTTATATATTAATACTGAAACACTAAAACTCTTTATACATTTAATAATTTTTATATTTTATTTATATGTATTATTATATATATATTATATATTTTCTTTAAATATATCTTTTTTCTAATGTGATAGAGTTTTATAAAAAATAAAATAGGTAATTTATGGTAGAGTTTTATAAAAATTATTTTATTTTATTTTCTTTAAATATATAGTTGCCTGTTTAGATTTCTTTTTATTAAATAACTCATAATAACTAGATAAATACAGTATATGTGAAAAAGTTTTAAAGAAAATAAATATGTAATTTGTGGTCGAGTTTTATAGAAATTATTTTATTATTTTTAAATATAATCATAATAAATAGATAAATACATGGTATATGTGATAGAGTTTTATAGAAAATGAAATAGTTATTTGTGGTAGAATTTTATAGAAATTATTTTATTTTCTTTAAATATATTATTGTCTAATTAGATTTTATTTTATTTTATTAAAAAAGTCATAATAAATAGATATTGTGATAGATTTTTATAGAAAATAAAGTACCTAATTTGTGGTAGATTTTATAAAAATTATTTTATTATATTATTAAAGTATAAAGTGTTTCAGTGTTTCAGTATTTTATTATTTATTAATTAATATAAAAAGTATTTATTAATTAATATAAATTACCTATTTGTCTATTTATTATGAGTTTTTTAATAAATAAAATCTAATTAGATGAAAATTATTAATATAAAAAAATTCAAAAGAATTTTTTAAAATAAAAAATATTTATTAATTGATATAAAAAGAGTTTTTTAAAGAATTTTTATAAAATTCTAACACAAATTACCTATTTATCTATTTATTATGAGTTTTTTAATAAAATAAAATCTAATTAGACAAGAATTATTAATATAAAAAATATTTATTAATTGATATAAAAAATAAAATAATTTCTCTACAACTCTAAAATAGATAAATACAGGTTATATGTGATAGAATTTTATAGAAAATAAAATAGCTGATTTATCATTCAATTTTATTGAAATTATTTTATTTTCTTTAAATATATTGTTGTCTAGTTAATTTTTTTTTTATTAAAAACTTATAATAAATAGATATATAGGTAATTTGTTTCAGAGTTTTTCAGAAATTCTTTAAAAAACTCTTTTTGCATCAATTAATAAATATTTTTTGTATTAATAAATATTTTCTATTTTTTTATATTAATAATTCTTGTCTAATTAGATTTTATTTTATTAAAAATTCATAATAAATAGATAAATAATAATTTTTATTAATTAATAAATATTTTTTATATTAATAAATAAATACTGAAACACTGAAACTATTTACACTTTTAATAATAGTATAGATATAAATATAGATATAGATTCTTGTTTAATTTTTTTTTTAAATTACAAAAATTCTACGTATATTTAATAGTAATATATATATATAGAGATATAGAAATATTTAAGAGAATTGGTGAGAGGAATATTTATCATTTTATATAAATTTTTGTAAAGAAAATATGAGTAAGGTTTTCTTTCTCTGGCTCTGAAAATGCAAAATTAATTATATTAGGTCTCATTACTCATTAGTGATAAAATCACAAAAATCACTATTATTTTTGTATTTGATTAGGGAATTAATTACAATATAAATTTTTACTCCTAATTTATTTTTACTAACTCCCGCTTAGGATTTTCTGAATTTCGCCTCCCGCCCCTAAAATACGTTGTACCTGATAGTTTTGGACAAAGCCCATTCTGGTCCGTTAGAGTGCTTCGGTGACTGAGCCTTATTATCGTGTTATCCTTGGAAACCCATTGTCAGCGAACGAACAACCCATTCTATTCTCAGACGAATCTCTCACAATCGCTCTGAAATACTCTCTTTCCTATACTAACATGTTTTCTTCTCACTCTCTCAATCACCGATTTTGGAGTCTCTGGTTCTCTTTCCTTTGTTCTAAAACCCTATTTTAGCGTTAGCCCTTTATTTCTTCGATTTAAACCGATCAATCAATTGAAAGGTAACATTGAAACGCAAATCGCCTCTCTTTCACTCTTATTGTAGTTATATACATTTTGTCTTACTTCAATCTCAAACCCATCAGACTATCCATGCTTTTTGTCGCTCTCTTACTGTCGTTCTTCATATAGGCAAGTAGTTAAGTTAGCTACCAGTGGAGGAAATATATAAGCAACAATCAATCTGCTTTTGTAAAAGTCACAGGTTTTTTTTGTCCTCTTATATATACATATATGTAAACACAAAACTTGATCTATCTCCATTTTATAATTTGGTTAATTTGTTCATGAATAGGCTTTTGATATTCATTTTGGGGTTTTAGATTTGTTCCATTGATATTTATTTTGTTTATCAGGTACATAAGGATTACTTGCTGAAATAGTAAACAGAGATTTTTTTTGCTTTCATTTAATTATTTTTAGGCTTATTCTGGTAAGCAGAGATTTTTTTTTTTTCTTTCATTTAATTTTTTTTTAGGGATAAAAGAATGACCTTTTCTCTACTACTTTAATGTATTTATTGTGGGGTGGTTTTCTACTTTTTTATTTTGTCCGTCAAATGCAGAGTACTCTGACAGAGGATAGCTTCACACTTTGGGAGGATACAGTCAGGTACATATGGCTTTTGGTTTTCCAAGTCAAATGATTTTTTTTTTTTTTTCTTCTCTTCATTTGAAATATAATTTGAAATCAAATTCTGCTTCTGATTTTCTTATACCTTTGTTGTTTAAAATTTTTGTTTAATCAAGATTAATTATAATTTACTAGGTTACTTGGACTATCTTACTTGGTAATGTGTCTTGTTATGATATACTTTGAAGTAATATGTGATTAGTAGAATGAACAAAAACTGTGAAATAATATAAAAGTGAACGACAAATGTGATTCAATGATTAAGACTTACATCGAAACTTCGAAGTCTAAAGACTGCCAAACATGCTCTGAAAAGAGAATCCAAACTTTCAAAGGAAAAGAAGTTAAAAAAAGATTCTAAAGAGAAAAGAGATGTAATAAGACAGAAATTGCTAGGAAATGTAATATAAAATTCTCAAAATATTCATTTTGCCCTTTAGAAATTAATATTTCAACCATAAGAATGTCTAGTACTTGAGGTAATAGATTCTGTTCAATGGTACACTCTTTCACTCATAATTTTACTGTAAGAACCATAACATAAATATATGCATTTATCAAACAAAAATTTAGTTTTTTCAAAACTCTTGGGCTAAGCACCATAAAATAGTAGTCTTCTGCAAATTACAAAAAGTATATTTAATCAATCAAATATATAAATTTATAAGTCCTTCAGCCACTTGCCTAGTTAGACTTCTCATTGAGTATGTAATTATATGGAATAGTTTCTGTTGGCATTTCTTATTAGATATTCCTTGCCAATGAATACCTGCAGTATGCCTCCTCACTAATGGAACATGGGTTAACGCTTTAGTTATGACACTAAATAATCATGCATCACTTTTAGAAGTGATACTAAATAATCATGAATGCCTTTTGCATGTCTCAAGAGTGGAGAGGAAAAATGTAATATTTGGCTATTAGTTCTATTGTGATAAAGAAATATGTTTTTTTTTTTTTTTCAGTCTTAGGTTTATTGTACACTATGATTATATTGACAGATTGGAAGTCAAAAAAGCCTAATTTTTATTCAATGTAGGATGACTAAAGTGTTGCCATCTTTATTGGAGTAGAATTTATTGCTAAGTAATTAAATACACTTCTAGCTTGGGGTTCTTAATTGTAACAAGTCAATCATCTGTTTAACTATTTTATTTTTATAATTACCGGATACACCTCTAAACATGTTGGACGAATAGTGCATTGTACTAAATTGTAGTGTGTTAAGAGCAAATATACATGGTATAAATGTAAAGTACTATTGTAATTGTATAGTCATTGTTTTGTTTCGGTTTTTTTTTGTTTTGGCTGTTCAATAGATTGCTGTTAAATTATTTTTTGCTGGTACAAGTTGAATTTAAACAACCTTTATTCATAATTTTTTGAAGTTCATATTGTATTTGAAATGTTTATACTTTTGGTTTGAATCCAGGTATAAAAACTATGATTATGCTAAATCAAAAGGGCTAGATGTAGGTGTATCAGTATTTGACATTTTTACAAAATCATAAAGGTTACATTTTTACACTTTTACCAAAAGTTCTATGAATCAATATTTGACATTTGCACTTTAAATCATTATAAAGATTACTATGTTATAATTTTACTTTAAATCAACAGTACATTTTAATTATTAGGAAACACTACCAAAAGTATCCCAACTCCGTAGTGAAACTTTTTGGAAAAAAAAAAAAAAAAAAAAACTCATTGGGGAAAATGTTGTAATTTATCTTTTTTTATTTTGAATCTAGTTTGATTCTTTATTTTACAAAAATAAATTTGCTACACTTATGTGTGACTACGAATGCCACACTAGGACACAGTCCGGTGGAATGACCAGGTTATACTTTCTTGTTATGGTATAATAGTTATTTTGCTTGCGTGTCCAATATAGAATTTATTCTACGCTATGATTGCATTGGCAGATTGGAAGTCTAAAGTTGTAATTTTTATTCAATGTAGGATGATTAAAGTATTGACATCCTTTCATTCTTGATGATAAAATGACTTTAACGTTCTATATTATTTTATGAATAATCATATTTAATTTTTAATTTTAAGAAAAAATTGTGTTGGCCTGCTCATCGTATGAATTATTTTGTGGTCATAACCTATCTTTAAATTTCTTGTTTCTCTTGATAGGCAATCTCTGTCATACCCAAGAGAAATGTCATCATAAAGACAAATTGCAGTTAATAAATGGGATGATGTGAAGAAAATTATTGTTTTAGAGAGTCTACAAATGCTTAAAGTGAGCTGAGAATGGAAAGTCAAAAAGAAAAACTGTTAAGGCTTTGGAGCAATTCGAGTCAACGGTACAAATGTATAAAACCATTACGGACAAGCTTGACATAGCCTAATTCCCTTAGCAAAGCGATATCTTTAGTAGTTCGTTTATATTTTGTTTTCTTATGGATATGTTAGTTCTTTTATAGTTTATTAGTTGTTTTTTAATGGACACACCATTGGTAGATGTAATGGAAATTCTATGTATGGATGTATTTAATAGTTTCTTTTTTTTCATAGACAAGTCATAATGATATATGTATAGGATGTGTAATGGATGTATTTTATTTGAAGTAATTAATTGAATTACTTTTTAAGTTTTTACTATATGTGATTAATGGTATTTAATTACTGCTGTATTTTAAATTTAAAAAATTAAAATGTTGATACATTTATTAAATATATTATCACTTCAATTTTTTTATTTTTTATTTTAACAAAAGAATTGGTTATTTGCGACCAAATTTTATAGCCACAAAAGGATTATCAATTTCTGACTAAACGCTATGGTTGCAAAAGGATTAATTATTTGCGACTAAATTTAAATAGTCACAAAAGTATTCATTATTTTCGATCCATCGAATGGTCGCAAAAGTGTAGCTTATCTGCGATCACTATAGTGGTCGCAAAAGGGTAGCTTATCTACGACCAATATAATGGTCGCAAAAGGGTTGCTTATCTGCAACTAATAAAACGGTCGCAAAAGGGTAGATTATCTGCGACCAATATAATGGTCGCAAAAGGGTTCACTATTTGCGACCATATAATTTGGTCTAAATACATTTTGGTCGATAATATAATGGTCGCAAAAAATGGCTTATTAGCGACCAATTCATTTTTTAGTTGCTAAAGACTATCCGTGTCGTAGGTATTGGCGACCATTAGGCGACCAAAAAGTTTTGGTCGCTAAAGAACATTTGTGACCAATTCTTGACCTTTTGTGACCAAATATTTAGTCGCAAAAAGCCCAATTTATTATAGTATGTGTTTGAACTAATGTGCAGATTGCAAGTTGCTACATGTGTTGAAACTTCATGAGGTTCAAGAAAGTTTACACGGTTTAATTCATTTAATAATCATTGTAATTTACTTTCCTGCTTGGGTAGATTGTTGAATTGTTTTTAAGGTTTTTCACGAAATTGCCAAAGGGGGAGATTATGAGATATATATTTTGTAATTGGCTAATTTCATTGTCAAAATAAGTCCGATCGAGTTGTAATTTTTCAATTAAAAAATTCAAAGATTGAAGATAGGATGTGGATTTGAAGAAGTTCAAGTGTTTATGATATACTGCACTTCGAGATGAAGAAAACAATGTTTTAGGAAGATTGAGAGGTAATGAGAACACATTGGGAGAGTTTTGAAAGTTTTTTAGGAAGATTTTACATTCTGTCCATTTTGAATTGATTCCCAAAAGTACTGAACAGGTTCAAGATCAGCAAAATTGAAAAAATTCAAGACTGGCTACCTTGAATCGGTTCCCAAATTCCTGAACGGGTTCAAGAGTAAAAGAAATTGCACGAATTTATTTATGGCCTTTTTGAACTGGTTCCCACTTTCCTGAATCGGTTCAAGACTCCTGAAAGGTTATGGTAACTTACCTTTCTTGCTCTGTTTGATTCCTTTTTGGACTAAACTTCATTCCAAGTCTTATGCACGAAATTTATCATATTTTTTGAGGGATTAGGACTTTCTAAACTATATATAAACATTGTCATACATATTGGTTTATTCATGACTTTAGGAAAAATCAATTCTACATTTTGAGAAAACCTTTTAAAGAGAAAATTCAGAAAATCAAATATGATTATTCTAAATTTATTTTTGAGAATATATATAAACCTTGTCATACATATTGGTTTATTCATGACTTTAGGAAAAATCAATTCTATATTTTGAGAAAGCCTTTTAGAGGGAAAATTCAGAAAATCAAATATGATTATTCTGAATTTATTTTTGAGAATATACACATATATTCATGAGTGATTTAGTTCTGTTGTTCTCTATCTCATTGAAATTGGAGCTATATTGAAGATTCAGAGATTCTGTATGAAGAGCAGGATTTAATTCTTCTACATCGAGTTCAGATCATGAAGAACAAAAGTGATCACACTTTGAAAGGGTTGGAGCATTCGAGGAGTGTTGTCTAATACACCTACTATTCTTCTACAAATATCAAGTATAAGTCTGAGGTCAAGTTGCTATTGGACGGGGAGTTGCAAAGCCAGAGGATTGTCATCAATTGATGTTTGGTAGAACGATAGGATGTGAGTCAGAGTCAAAGTTCGGTGTACTTTGTTTCAAATATAGTGGATTGGTTTACTTTGGGCTGAATAGTCCACGAAATTTTTCCCATACAAACAGTTAACTTATTTTATCAACTGAGGTTTCTCACTAAAAATCCTGGTGCAATCTCTCTAAACTTTTATTTGCTTTACTTTACATATATTTGTGATTGTGGATGTTTAAATTGATCATTTAATTTAATCAATCATAAATTTAGCAAGTTGACCTAATAATTAGATCTAGGTCATTAAAGTAGTTAATCAATTAAAATAAACTAAATGTTTCCGCACCTCGCATAACTCTATTTTCACAATCTCTCCTTGAGCTACTCCTCCATGATTATAGCAACTCTTTATTAATTTGACTCAAGTAATTATGTTATTAATTCTTCAGTGTATTGCTTATTATTTCCTTATATAGTCTGTAATTCTTTGTATAAATATTGCACACTTAATTAATGAAAGTGTGGCCACTTTCATGAACTTCTTCAAGACTCTTTAACCACAACCAAAACTCACCAGAAGTAAAAATAATCTACAGTCTCTAATGTGATGTTCTAATGGAATCAAAACTAAATGCATATTGGTATCAAGATTGAATAAATATTGGTTGCACGTGTTGTTCCGCTTCTGCTATCGAGACTCACAAAATTAAACAAAAATTATAACTCGATCGGACACGTTTTGATACCGAAATTTGCCAATTACAAATTAATATCTCATAAAAGGAAATCCGAAAAAATAAAAAAATAAAAAAATAAAAAAAATAAAATAAAATAAAATAAAATTATTTTAAAGGTGTTTATCATTTTCCAAAAACTAATTAATGTTAGTACAGTAGCAACACGTAACAGACGCAGTTTAAGTAATTAATGCATGTAAGTCATGAAAATATATACACAATCAGATTCTCAGAATTTAGAAACCAGTGAGGCCATTCTCATAAATGTATTTCAATAATCCTAATTAATTGCTAATTGCATTTGTTGACTGTAGTCTGTACGTTACAAACCACTTACCATTCTTTTTAATTTCTTAATTTACTGCGGATACTCTCCCTTTTAATTCTTTTTTACTTTCATATTTGATTCAAATCCATATTAGAATGTGCTTTATAATAGTTCGTATAATATAACTTGCTTACGCTTTTACCAAGAATTGTCCTAATGTTATCTCTATATTAAATATCAATTACATTACATCTATCCCATCCTAGCAACAGAGTTAACATTGGTATCATACCACAAGCTAATAAGCTGTAATTGTAATGGCGATTCGAAGTTATGTCCTCAAAGCCCTACTCGTCATTGCAACTGTAATGACAAGTAATGCAACATTTCCATGGAGATATGGCATGTCTTTGAGATCGATTCACCGTGAAAGCGAACTCTTATCAGTCAATTACAGAATAGATTCGTTTAACCGTAGTAGTTTTCCGGATGGTTTCATCTTTGGAGCAGGATCATCTGCTTATCAGGTCATTGAAAATTATTTAGCTACTCAAACCTTTCAAGATATATAGGATAAGTATAATAATGCATGGTTAATTTGTAGGCTTGTAGATGCTTATATACATATACATATATATACATATACATATATGTATATATATTAATTTATTTTTTATTTTATTTTTCCAGATTGAAGGTGCTGCAAATGAAGATGGTAGAGGCCCAAGTATATGGGATTCTTTCACTCACACATATCCAGGTCTCCTTTCTCTCCGATCTCTAAAGAACAGATAAAAATAAGAAATGGAATTAGTGTTTTTATTTTATTTATTTATTTATTATTATTTTGTTCAGTATAGAACAAACTTTTCAATCTTAGCAATCCTTCTACGATTTGTATTTTCTGTTTTCAGTTACAAAAAACTATGTCTTGATTCAGTTTTTTTAAAATAATTTTTTGTTCTCTAAATTCTTGAAAACTATTTTCAGAATTGCAAATCAAGTAAGCCCTATATTTTTCCTTTCGATTGGAATTCAAGTGCTACTGCTTGGGCTGCTCAAGTTTGAGATCATTCTAACAACCTTAAATACCTCTATGTTAACAACCTAGTCCTTGCTTGTTGTGTCTATTTCTTATGACAAGAGAGAAATCTTAAAAAATTTGAAGGAAGTCTTCTTCTCATAGTTTTATCATAGGTTTAGCTTTCAATATATCCGGATTATCAACAAGTTCATTGTAGATTTGCAGAGAAGATAGCCAATGGTAGTAATGGAGATGTTTCAATTGATTTTTATCATCGGTACAAGGTATGCTTCTACAACTACTCAAACTTTTTTTATTGACCTGTTTCGCTTTGTTCTTCGAGTTATCTTATACACTATAGAGTAATGCTATCTAGAGAGACATCTCATAACAAATGTCATGAACTCTCTTTATTTAAGCACTAAATTGTGATAGTTCTTTAAGGTCTTTGAATTGTCACATAAAACCATTTAATAAATCTTTCAATCGAGCTGTCAAGAAGAAAAGTTCATGACTCATGTTATGAGAGACTCTTTTGATAGCATTACTCTTACATTAAATTAAGAATCATTGGTAGCACTTAATTGTTAACAAAATTACGCATGAAACATTATATTTGATTTTCATGATAATTTCAATCAACTTGCAGGAAGATGTGCAGATCATGAAGGGAATTGGTCTTGATGCATATCGATTCTCAATCTCATGGTCCAGAATACTCCCACGTAAGATAGTGACTTTCATCATCTAGTGTAGGGGATTATATATAGAGAGATGGATCCACCATAAACCCAATTTATTTGAACACATTTTGTTACATAGAAATATAATAAAAGTATATATATATATATATATATATATATATATATATATATATATATATAAGGATTTCAATCCGGAAACCTTTAGTACAAGAGCCTAAACTGTAAACTTCCAATATATAAAGAGCAGTGATAAATTGAAGGTTTGTACTGAAAAGAACACTGAACTTGACGTGGTTATTGTCACGTCACACAATTTTATTACATGTAAGATGCTAATTCCATTTTTTCTCTTTTCCTCT